AGTGAAACATAAGATATTACTGTATTTAATGTCCCATTGGTAGGATATTCTTGATCGTAGATCATCCAATTTGTTTTCAATGATTGCATGTTGGCCAATAGAACTGATGGTAGTGGAAGTTTACTCACTCGCCTACGAATTCTCAGAAGGCAGCCCGACCTCCGCCCCCTTTTTCTCCGTCTTATCTTCAAGCAAATGACGGGGATTTGGGCCCGTTCCCGAGAAAGCAGTATATCCTTTGCGTCAGACTAGTTAAAGAAAAATTATTAGTCCAGTGCGAGGTGAGTAATCACTGTTCTGATGTCCAGAAGTTATTTTCGGTCATAAGAGATTGTAGCAGCAACATTATGTACACAATAAGTAAAAAAAGATAAGTTAAACAATGCAAAAAAACGAACAAAATAGCACAGTTGGTTAGGAGCCTGTAAAACGGCAGCCATCCCCTCCGTAGAGCTCTGAAACAGGATTGTCTCGAGGCACAGATCTGGGGAAGGGTACCAAAAATTGTCTGCAGCATTGAAGGTCCCCAAGAACACAGTGGCCTCCATCATTCTTAAATGTAAGACGTTTGGAACCACAAAGATTCTTCCTAGAGCTGGCCGCCCAGCCAAACTGATCAATCGGGGGAGAAGGGCCTTGGTCAGGAAGGTGACCAAGAACCCAATGGTCACTCTGACAGAGCTCCAGAGTTCCTCTGTGGAGATGGGAGAATCTTCCAGAAGGACAACCATCTCTGCAGCACTCCACAAATCAGGCATTTATAGTAGAGTGGCCAGACAGAAGCCACTCTTCAGTAAAATGTACATGACAGCCCGCTTGGAGTTTGCCAAAAGGCACCTAAAGGACTCTCAGACCATGAGAAACAAGATTCACGTCTGGAGGAAACCTGGCACCATCCCTACGGTGAAGCATGGTGGTGGCAGCATCATGCTGTGGGGATGTATTTCAGCGGCAGGGACTGGGAGACTAGTCAGGGTCAAAGGAAAGATGAACAGACCAAAGTACAGCAAGATCCTTGATGAAAACCTACTCCAGAGCACTCAGGACCTCAGACTGGGGAGAAGGTTCGCCTTCCAATAGGATACCGACCCTAAGCAAACAGCCAAGACAATGCAGGAGTGGCTTCAGGACAAGTCTCTGAATGTCCTTGAGTGGCCCAGCCAGAGCCCGGACTTGAACCTGATCGAACATCTCTGGAGAGACCTGAAAATAGCTGTGCAGCGACGCTCCCCATCCAACCTGACAGAGCTTGAGAGGATCTGCAGAGAAGAATGGGAGAAACTCCCCAATTACAGGTGTGACAAGCTTGTAGCGTCATACCCATGAAGACTCGAGGCTGTAATAGCTGCCAAAGGTGCTTCAACAAAGTACTGAATAAAGGGTCTGAATACTTATGTAAATATGATAGTTTTTTATTTTATACATAACAAAATGTGGAAAAAGTCCAAAGGTCCTGAATTATTTCCGAAAGCTCAGAAAGAGATTTTGTTTAACAAGCACCCCCAAAGATTCTAATAAATAAAATAAAATCATTCAACTTTTTAAGTTAATCTCAGTTTAAGGAACTATATTGTGGCCTTCCATGGCTTCCTGTTTCACTGGGGTATAAAAATGAGTTAACAGGCATGTAAAATCCCTTTGTCATCCATCAGCATGGGAAAAGGCAAAGAGCTCACAAATGAAGAGAGAAATGGTTGCTGACCTTCAAAATCAGGCAATGGGTACAAAAACATTGCAAAAATAATAAATATACCACTTACCACTATTAGGGCAACAATTAAGAAGTGGTAAACTTGCCTGGTATTGGACGCAGGTGTATGTAGTCCACACACCCACCGTGAGGAAGATCAGCTTTAATATTGCAGATAGACTGTGGGTTCTATCAATGTAATTGTATGCATCTTTTCCAATCCCCAATATATTTGGAGTAAACTAATAGAAAACAATACTTAGGCTTCTACTTCCAGCTTATACATACTATATACATTTTACAGACAGTATACTTTACATTAGATATCTTTTATTTGTTTTTAGTCCCAACCTTCAGCCAACTTCAACCCCTCCCATCTATCTCTGAAAACCATCCAGTTTTGATTTGCCGTATAAATTCTGAACCTTTCTATTCTCATAGTTTCTATTCTCAAAGATTACAGTGGCTTGCGAAAGTATTCACCCCCCTTGGCATTTTTCCTATGTTGTTGCCTTACAACCTAGAATTAAAATTGTTTTTTGGGGGGGTTGTATCATTTGATTTACAACATGCCTACCACTTTGAAGATGCAAAATATTTTTTCTTGTGAAACAAACAAAGAAATAAGACAAAAAACAGAACTTGAGCGTGCATAACTATTCACCCCCCGAAAGTCAATACTTTGTAGAGCCACCTTTTGCAGCAATTATAGCTGCAAGTCTCTTGGGGTATGTCTCTATAAGCTTGGCACATCTAGCCACTGGGATTTTTGCCCATTCTTCAAGGCAAAACTTCTCCAGCTCCTTCAAGTTGGATGGGTTCCGCTGGTGTACAGCAATCTTTAAGTCATACCACAGATTCTCAATTGGATTGAGGTCTGGGCTTTGACTAGGCCATTCCAATACATTTAAATGTTTCCCCTTAAACCACTCAAGTGTTGATTTAGCAGTATGCTTAGGGTCATTGTCCTGCTGGAAGGTGAACCTCCGTCCCAGTCTCAAATCTCTGGAAAACTGAAACAGGTTTCCCTCAAGAATTTCCCTGTATTTAGCGCCATCCATCATTCCTTCAATACTGACCAGTTTCCCAGTCCCTGCCGATGAAAAACATCCCCACAGCATGATGCTGCCACCAAAATGCTTCACTGTGGGGATGGTGTTCTCGGGGAGATGAGAGGTGTTGGGTTTGCGCCAGAGAAAGCATTTTCCTTGATGGCTTAAAAGCTCAATTTTAGTCTCATCTGACCAGAGTACCTTCTTCCATATGTTTGGGGTTGTCTCCCTCATGCCTTTTGATGAACACCAAACGTGTTTGCTTATTTTTGTCTTTAAGCAATGGCTTTTTTTCTGGCCACTCATCTGTAAAGCCCAGCTCTGTGGAGTGTACGGCTTAAAGTGGTGCTATCGACAGATACTCCAATCTCTGCTGTGGAGCTTGGCAGCTCCTTCAGGGTTATCTTTGGTCTCTTTGTTGCTTCTCTCCTTGCCTGGTCCGTGAGTTTTGGTGGGCGGCCCTCTCTTGGCAGGTTTGTTGTGGTGCCATATTCTTTCAATTTTTTAATAATGGATTTAATGGTGCTCCATGGGATGTTCAAAGTTTCTGATATTTTTTATAACCCAAGCCTGATCTGTACTTCTCCACAACTTTGTCCCTGACCTGTTTGGAGAGCTCTTTGGTCTTCATGGTGCCACTTGCTTGGTGGTGCCCCTTGCTTAGTGGTGTTGCAGACTCTGGGGCCTTTCAGAACAGGTGTATACTGTATATACACTGAAATCATGTGACAGATCATGTGACACATGCACACACATGGACTTTATTTAACCAATTATGTGACTTCTGAAGGTAATTGGTTGCACCAGATCTTATTTAGGGGCTTCATAGCAAAGGGGGTGAATACAAATGCACGCACCACTTTTCCGTTATTTATTTATTAGAATTTTTTGAAACAAGTTAGTTATTTTTTTCATTACACTTCACCAATTTGGACTATATTGTGTATGTCCATTACATGAAATCCAAATAAAAATCCATTTAAATTAAAGGTTGTAATGCAACAAAATATGAAAAACGCCAAGGGGATGAATACTTTTGCAAGGCACTGTACATTTTTTACTAAGAGTATTATTATATTATTGATCGATTGACTATTGCTTTTCAAGTCACCCAACAGTGCTATTTGCAGAGTTAACTCCAGGTATATGTTGCAATTCTTCAGCCATTCCTGAACCTGCGACCAAAAACAAGCTACTGTACATATGGGCAGAACCAAAACTAGTGATCTAATGATTCTGTCTCTTTGCAGCAAAATTTGCAGAGCTGAAATGGTTGTATCTGCCATGTACATAACATTCTATTAGTTGCAAGAATTTTGTATAATAATTGTAATTGAAAAAATCGAAGTTTTTAATGCGGCTTAGTTTTGTGTGTCAGTTCATAAACCATGTGCCATGGAATCGGCACATCGAAAAAATCTCTTCCCAACTATTTTGCAACCTATATGGCGCAGCTGTCAATTGTTTGGTCCTTAAATGAAACTGTCATTCTTTTTTATTTATAAAAATTTTATTTAAACAATTGTAGTGCCGACAGACAAGTTCCTTACTTTCTACCCCTATTTATGATATAATTAACAAAGATTATACTGTTATTTTTTTCTTCTCTAAAACAATGTTTAAAAAAAAAAATCTATTAGTATATTTGAGTTTAACCATAATATTTGTTGTAATATTTGTTCTGTCTTTTCTGGTGGATTAAACTGTTCTGGAGATGATTTCATTTTTAAATAACTGAAAGTGAGAGGTTGTAATCTGAATAAAGGGAAAAGGGCTATTTTTAACACTGGGTGAGCCATTTTTACTAATCTGCTGGAAAACCAGTTTGGATTAAATAACATTTTTGTGTGACTGAAGCCTTTAGTGAGAGGTTCAATGCTTGAATATTTAATCATTTCAGCCCTCCACATATTCATTATATAAATAGGCCCGTTTAATTTTATCTGGCTTGCCGTTTCAAATAAAGTGGAATATTTTTTGCTCATATAATTTCAGAAACAAGTTAGGCAGGGCCATAAGTAAATAGGTAAACTGGGATATGACTAAATAATTAATCTGGGTGATTTTTCCACACATATACAGGTATTTACCTTTCCATGGTAGCAAGATCTTGTGTATTTTTGATAACTTTCTATTAAAATGTATTGTAGTGAGATCACACACTTACTTATGACAATGAGCTTGGCCATGGAGATGGCGTCCCTGGCAGCGAAGGTGATCTCCTTTGGTGGCATGGCTGGGGCCTGTCTCAGCACCAGGTGGTAGGAGCAACCGTCTGCCCGCATGGCCCAGGTGTCATCATTCTTTAGCTCGGCTCCGTTAGAGTACCACACTACCTCCGCCTCAGGCACAGGCTCAGTCAGCATGCAGCTGAACTCTACCTTCTCTCCCACCACAGCTACCTTATCCTCCAGACCGCTCACCACATCCAGCTGCCAGCCTACGCACACAAAATCCACTTCATATAATATAAGGCAGTTTCTCCTTATTTTCAGCCGTAGTATGTCACAGTACATTTCACCATAAGACCAGGCCTTAACAAAAACAAGAACTAACTTACTGACAAACATAAGGGGGGCATTAATTGGGGTGGGATACCTTTGACATTGAGCATGGCGGAGGTTGCTGCGGTGCCAGCCTGGAAGGTCACTTTGCAGTTGTCCCCGACGTGCAGATCCTTTAGCAACAGCAGGTGGCGGCGGCCACTCTCGAAGGACACGATCTCAGTGTTTGGCGAATCCTTCACCGGCTTGCCGTCGATGAGCCAGCGGCAGTCTTTGATCTCGCAACGAGAAATAGAGCACTCGAACAGGGCCTCGCCGCCGTCGATGGTGTCCATGTTCTCCAGGCCCTGGAGGATTTCAATGGGTTTGACTATAGGGGAGAAGAGGAGAGAAGGGAGAGGGATGTTTACTGGAAGATAATAGCTTTAACTGAGAGGGGAGAATGTGTCATTAGACAAGCCTTTTCCCCACTGTTGGTGGGGATTTTATGTTCACAGTGGCCTGAAGGACAAGTGGATTTTTTATTGCTTGACACTTGCTGCTATTCAAGCTGAACCTCACAATGAAAACCTGCCAAAACTGCTGGACACTTAAACAGTGCATGAAATTACAGTTTTAGACAGCTTTGTTTTGAACTTTCTGATATCCATTTTGACACTAGGGCCAGGAGTTTTTCCTGACCTGATCATGAGAATCTCTGGGCCATAGTTGATCGCTATAACTAGGGCCCAGAGCTTTTCATGATCAGGTCTCATGGTTTAGAAGCCATGTAAATTTTTCATTTTGCTTTGCCTGGCTGGATTGATTGCAAAAAAGGGTTGGGGGAAAGATTGCATAAATAAAACAATAATAAATAATGAGTAAAACAAATTACCTGCTTGAAATCGCTATCTGCTAATCATAACTGAACACAACAATAAAAACAGTAGAAAGAAAAATAGTGTGAAGCTCAGGGGGAGGGTAGGGTAGCTAGTTGCTCTTTCCAAAAGAGAAGAGAAGCTCACCTTCCACTTCCAGCAAGGCGACCACGCAGGTCCCCTCTGCCTCACAGGAGTACTTCCCCCTGTCCTCAGTGGACACATGGCTAATGTACAAGCGAGCCACGGTCCAGTCCTGCTCCACTACCACCCTCCTGCCGTCAGGCTGCAACGGCCGCCCGTTTCTTTTCCACTGGGCCTGGACCGGCCGGGAGTACTGGCAGATGAACTCAGCCGGCTGGTCCTCAGCCACACGAAGGTCCTGCATCTCACTCACCACCTCTACTGTGGGGTCTGAGAGTGGGGGCAGTGGTCAAGGGTCATATGACAAGGTCATCATGACTGACATTCACTCTCTCGACATGGCAAAGGACAACACCTGGGCTTTATAAACACCCCAGTACACCTTGGAGTATTTTGGTTTATTTTACTTTTAATTGAATTAACTTTATTGATCCCCAGTGGGGAAATTGTATACCATATAGATTTACTGGTGGTATCAGAGATGGCTTATTATTGTAGTAATGTGCATAGATGTGCCTTGATCCACAGTACATCTTATGGATGCAGCACTCAGTGCCCAAATACAGTATGCACTTAAATACAGAATGTGAATGTTTACTCTGTGACAGTTGTTTTTGATACTCCAAACTGAAGGGGGAGTGAAAGGCCCAAATGTCTCAAGAGGCAGGGGGAGCTGGACACAACTACTGCCCACTAACCAACCAATGAGAAAGGGGAAATATGCCCATGGGTGGCTAGAGATTCCATACTTACAGAGCAAAGGCAGGAAGGGTTAGATAGTTTTAGTGCTTGCAGGCTAGGGGTGGTGCATTGTAGGGTGGAAGTGAGGCTGAGAGTAAATAAGGGAAAGTGGCCAGCCAGGGTGGATGGGTGGAGCAGCACTGCCCTATACTGCAATTTCCAGCTACTGCTGTTTCTCTAGGCTCACATACAGCAGCAAAGTTTGTTTACAGGTCAAATCTGTCCTACTGTACCCACAGAACTACAAAGTTAAAACCAAGTTCAGTTAAAATACTCTGTGCACATACTTTCTTTTATTCTTTTTGAATTACTACCCGTGTGCACACATTACTTCTTAACAGCAATCATACATCACACATACTGCCACAAAATTATTAAAACTACATCATATGCAATCTATTTAAATGTGAATATACTACAGTAGGCAGATAAGATTTCAATAATTTTTGAATAATATTAGAGTGGGTGCTTACTAGAACTGTACATTATGACTAAAATATACTGAACAAAAATATAACATGCAACAATTTCAAAGATTTTACTGAGTTACAGTTCATATACGGAAATCAGTCAGTTGAAATAAATTAATTAGGCCCTAATCTATTGATTTCACATGACTGGGCAGGGGCGCAGCCATGGGTGGGCCTGGGAGGGCATAGGCCCACTCACTTGGGAGCCAGGCCCAGCCAATCAGAATGAGTTTTTCCCCACAAAAAGGCTTTATTACAGACATAAATACTCCTTAGTTTCATCAGCTGTCCTGGTGGCTGGTCTCAGACGATCCCACAGGTGAAGAAGCCGGATGTGGAGATCCTGGGAAGGCGTGGTTAGGTCTATGGTTGTGAGGCCGGTTGGACGTACTGCCAAATTCTCTAAAACAACGTTGGGGGAGGCAGCTTATGGTAGAGAAATTAACATTAAATTCTCTGGCAACAACTCTGGTGGACATTCCTGCAGTCAGCATGCCAATTGCACGCTCCCTCAAAACTTGAGACATCTGTGGCATTGTGTTGTGTGACAAAACTGCACATTTTAGAGTGGCCTTTATTGTCCCCAGCAGAAGGTGCACCTGTGTAATGATCATGCTGTTTAATCAGCTTTATTGATACGCCACACCTGTCAGGTGGATGGATTATCGTAGGAGAAATGCTCACTAACGGGGATGTTGTCTGGCGCAAACCCAACACCTCTCATCAACCCCAGAGAACACCATCCCCGCAGTGAAGCATGGTGGTGGCAGCATCAAGCTGTTGGGATGTTTTTCCATCGGCAGGGACTGGGAAACTGGTCAGAATTAAAGGAATGATGGATGGCGCTAAATGCAGGGAAATTCTTGAGTGAAACCTGTTTCAGTCTTCCAGAGATTTGAGACTGGGTCGGAGGTTCACCTTCCAGCAGGACAATGACCCTAAGCATACTGCTAAAGCAACACTCGAGTGGTTTAAGGGGAAACATTAATATGGCATAGTCAAGGCCCAGACCTCAATCCAATTGAGAATCTGTGGTATGACTTAAAGATTGCTGTACACCAGCGGAACCCATCCAACTTGAAGGAGCTGGAGCAGTTTTGCCTTGAAGAATGGGCAAAAATCCCAGTGGCTAGATGTGCCAAGCTTATAGAGACATACCACAAGAGACTTGCAGCTGTAATTGCTGCAAAAGGTGGCTCTACAAAGTATTGACTTTAGGGGGGGTGAATAGTTATGCACACTCAAGTTCTGTTTTTTGTCTTATTTCTTTGTTTGTTTCACAATAAAAAATATTTTGCATCTTCAAAGTGGTAGGCATGTTGTGTAAATCAAATGATACAAACCCCCCAAAAAATCTATTTTAATTCCAGGTTGTAAGGCAACAAAATAGGAAAAATGCCAAGGGGGGTGAATACTTTCGGAAGCCACTGTATCTGTAAACCACAACTGTTAGGTAACATTTGCCATTATTAGCTAAATGTTTTGCTACACAATTTAACTAAGGGTGTGAATCCTCATTGACTGACATAGCTCTTGCTGCATATCACTAAGAAATTGGTGGAAACATAATCTAGTGCTGCACCATCCTGTATGTTGTGGTCTTATCAAAAGCATGCAGCATGAAAACTCTCATTCTAACTCAGTGAAATGACTCAAATGTATGATCATGCATGGAAGCATGCATGGATGAGGCACAAAAAGTAATTAGCTACTGATCTAGTCATTCCCACTAGGAGCTTTGAACTATTTTTAGGACACCTACATAATACTGTCAAGATTAACATTAGCCTTGGACAAAACGTGTGAAACGAGTAAACATTCTTATTGTACTACCAATGTGGTTTCCTACTGTATATCTATAATTTATTGAAATTGGGTCTAAGTCTAATGCTCTGGTGGTCACTGAAAATTAAATAAATATATATTTTTTTATCTAATCACAAGTTTCACTGGTGATTTTCTTCAGAGGAAAAAGTATACCAAAAGTATAACAAAAATCTTTCATTGACAGTCCCCCAGTGTGTGTGTATAATGAGCATTGATGCTGCATGGTCTCAAGAAAAGAGATGGCAATTTAGAAGTCACTCTCCTCCTCCTCTCAATCCCTCTAGCTCCTCCAGTCCTCCCTGATACATTTGACAAAGAGCTTGGTGTAGGACACCAGGCTGCTGGCTTTGAACATGACTGTGCCCGAGGTGTCCGGAGCCATGTCTTTTAGGGTGAGGGTGTGGACGTGGCCCTGGCTCAGCCCTATCTCGCTGGAGGGGCTGTCCTGAAGAAGGTACCCATCCAGCCACCACTGCACCTCCCCAGGCGTCACACTGTGGGAGAGCTGGCAGGAGAAGGTGGCCCACTCGCCCACAAAGACATTGGTGCTCTTTAGACCACACACTATGAGGACCTCTGCCTCTGAAGAGTAGTGGAGATAGAATCAGACACTCAGATACTGCTACTCACAGTCACACAACTCACCCAAGCTTTCACAATGCCAAACTTTGGGATAATAAAGATGACTTCGACCTTGACCTGTCTCATTCCTCACTTAAACTTTGACTTTAAGTAGGCAAGCATCCTTACACACTTCATTAGGTTATTTATTTCCTACACGTTCCATGATACAATCTATATTTTGTTAATGCGCAGAAAATGTCGGTCCCATTAATTGAATGGGATTTGTGCTTAAATGTTAGCATGTGCCAGGTAAACTAACCCAAAGCATGGATTACTGTCATACCATGCTTATAGGGTAAGGAAACCAATGTGTCATTATGTAATTTGGTGTACTATCCCTTTAACCATATGTATTCCATCAAGACTGGAAACTTAAATTCCATCCTGCAACTGATCAGCTTTAACTTGCTGCCATAACATACAGTACACTTGTTGAAACCACAAAGGCTATCTAAAACCGTTAGGAATTAATTCCTTCATCCTTGAGAAAAGAAAAGACCAGACCATACAGAAATGGACCCTCTCAGAGACAGACGGTGTAGTGACATTATACCTTGCACTGCCACTGACGCCGTGGTGAGCTGGTCTCCAGCATCACAGGTGTAGTAGCCATTGTCCTCTGGCTCTAGGTTGCGAATGTGGAGCTCCTGAATGCATCCCTCCTGTCTCATCTCGTACTTCTTACCAGCCTGGAGGACTACGCCTCCCTTCCTCCACTCCACGTGAGCGCCCGCCTTGGAGAGCTCACAGTGCAGAGTGATATCATCACCCTCCTGGGCTTCCTGGTTCTTCAGCTCCTTCTGGAAGAATGCCGGGGCACCTGGTGGAAGTAGGAGACATGACATCTGTGTCGGACAGAGGACGTAAAGTAGTGTACAGGGGAGTAAGATGGCTCTGTTAGTGTATGTTGATGGAAGACTGGGTGCATGGGAGTTTGTAGAGGGCAAGACAGTCAAGAAGAGTATTATTGGGGGAACTCATCCTGAGTTTATCTTGATCCAGAGCATTCACTGTGAGGTTTGGGCTGGTAACAATTTTGTGGTATTAGATGCAGTGCAGAGGGTCCAAACTTTTCTAGTGCCGGCATCATTCTTTACCTTCCACAATCAAGGTGACGGTGCACTGTGCGTCCCTGGTATCGCAGCAGTAAGTTCCAGAGTCCTCCATCTCCAAGTTGTGGATGCGGAGCTGCAGGAGAGCTCCATCCTTCCGCAGGTCGTACTTGAGTCCTGCTTTGATGGCCACATCATTCCTGCTCCAGGTGACGGTGGCCGTGGGGTCGGAGACGGTGCAGGACAGGGTGACTGTCTCACCCTCCAAGGCCACTGTATCGTGAGGCTTCTCTAGGATTAAGGCTGTAGATATTGGAAATCCCAAGCTAAGTACATACAGTGTAATGCACTTTGAGTGTCAAGTGTCATGTATATGTAAAACTTGTACAGTTTTTATATGGGCAGTATTTAATGTGTCTCTTTTTCCACAGGTCTAAAATGCCTTGTATGAACTTTCAGTAGCATGCCAATGATAACCATAAAGACTATGACCATTAGGCATTTATCACTTAATTGATATTCAAATTGATACTGAAGTTAGCAAAGTGATATGTTTATATCAGTGACAAACGTCTTGTTGTCAACTTCATTTTATAGTATCTTTAAAGACAAAGATACTATAAAAAGAAAAGCCAGGAGGATGACCAACACACGTCTAAAGAAAGGATGGAATGGATGATGTTGCACAGCAGATGAACAAAGGGTGTTCTAACGTGCCAAGACAAAGCTGTTTGATGGAAGATAGAGATGGAGAGATGGAGATAGGTGAGGAAGAGGAGGCCATCTTTAATGTCTCCGTTAACATCTCTATTACCTTTGGGCTTCTCTTCCACCAGTAGGCAGGCAACAGTCTTCTCCTCGCCCACCACAAACGCCACGTCCCCTGACTCGTCAGTGGTGACCATCTGTAGTGTCAGCCGGTGTACCCGGCCCTGGCAGGTCATCTGGTTCAGGTCGTTGTTCTGGAGGAGGTTATCGCCCAGCCACCACTCTCCGTTGGTCACGCCCTCCTGGGACAACTCACACGCAAAGACAGCATCCTGGCCGGTGGTCACTGTGATGTCTTGCAGCTCCCGAGTGATGCGTACAGACTCTGGAGGTGAATTAATGTGATGATGGGGGAGTGAGAGATCTAAAGGTTCCCAGGGTCAGGGTTTCCCAGGGGATTCATTAAGGTGAAACACTCAGCATTAGAGCACCACCATTGGTATCCCGATTTAAAAGTGAGATCTAAAGAGGATACACAATTGCACTCCAGGAGACACCAGTTCATGGAGTTTGCAGAGGCTATTTATGTTTAGGACTCTTTCTCAATTAAAGAGTACAATATTACACAAAAACACATTTTCACTTCCTACGTGATGGCTAACATGTAGGAAGGTAGACATACGTTTTAAAAAACGATCTCTGACACAATACATAGTATAGGTCTGAATATGACAACAAAACCAACACAAATACATTCTGTAGTCCCCAACATGGCAAATAGATTGCGGTTCAAACGCAAAAACACACATTGATTACGAAACCTATATTTCATGATCAACTAAAATGTTATTGTTACCCCAAAAACTATGCGCTTACTCACACATTACACTTAAAAAACAGGTTACTACAAGTTTGGCTACAACAAAATCCAAGTAAAATAACATTAAGAAGGAAGTTCTTAGTCCGTTGGCACACAGAATGAAAGCAGAGGATAATGTAGGGTCACAGCAAACCAGCAGAGACAGACATGAATACAGCCAAGCTTCATTACCTTTGACTGTTAGGGTGGCTGTGCTCTGCTTATCCCCGGTATCGCAGGTGTACTCTCCAGCATCTTCGACCTTTAGCTTGTGAACCATCAGGATGTAGGTAGAACCTGTGTGCTCCATGGAATACTTCTCCCCCTGGGTGAGGAGCACAGATCCCCTTCTCCAGGTCACCTTGCCCTCAGCACTGATCTCACAGGTCAGGGAGACACTGCCTCCCTCTACTGCTTCCTGGCTCTCCAGCTCCTTCTTGAACACCACAGGGGCCCCTGCCGGGACACAGCAAGATAGATACAGACCACCACAAGGTTAGGATGGATGGAGACGTTAACCTGTTTAGGGAGCGGACACGGATGGGATGGACATCCAAGCACATCCAATATCTTGAAAGGAAACATATAAAACAACAATACAACATTAAAAAGCTTTTGCTAGAAAAAATGTTTATCCACTATAGGTTTCAAATAGCATTGGTCTCAAAGGACAAAAACAGGGAGATTTCTTGTTTCTTGCTATTTTGTAAAAAAATGTTGAGTGAAATGAACAAGTGGCCTACCAATGGCATACACTGCTATACCAATCGATGTCCACAACAAGATGACCATGAATTGAGAGATCCAGAATGACTCTAGATATTGGGGTATTATGGAAAATGGTTAGGCCTAGTAAAGGTGAGTGATTAGGAGACTCATATTATACATATATTATATAACCCCTTACCTCAGACTATACAGTATATGTACCCTTTACTTTCATTATATGGGTATATGCACCCCTTACCTTGGACAGTCAGGCTGTAAAATGAGTTTGGAATGGACTCCGGGTATCAAGGTAAAATGGTTAGGTCTAGTAAAAGGTGAGTGATTACGAGACTCATATTATACATATATTATATAACTGCTTACCTCAGACTATACAGTACATGTACCCTTTACCTTGGAAGGTCAGGCTATGAAACAGGTTTGGAATGGACAAAAGGGATCCAGGTATCGGGTACAATGGGAAAAGATTAGAGTTGATCAACAGACTTGTAACCCTTACCTCGTAAAGTTAGGTTTTACAATGAATTAAGAATGGATCCAAGTATTGGGATAGAATGGAAAAGGGTTTGTACTGATCAGCAGACTCACTGTATAAGAGTCTATATATATTTTACCTTAGACTATATATATATATATATATATAATACATACACACACAGTACCAGTCAAAAGTTTGGACACACCTACTCATTCAAGGGTTTTTCTTTATTTTTGCTATTTTCTACATTGTAGAATAATAGTGAAGACATCGAAACTATGAAATAACACATATGGAATCATGTAGTAACCAAAGAAGTGTTTAACAAATCAAAATATATTTTATATTTGAGATTCTTCAAATAGCCACCCTTTTCCTTGATGACAGCTTTGCACACTCCTGGCATTCTCTCAACCAGCATTCTCTCAATGCTTTTCCAACAGTCTTGAAGGAGTTCCCACATATGCTGGGCACTTGTTGGCTGCTTTTCCTTCACTATGCGGTCCGACTCATCCCAAACCATCTCAATTGGGTTGAGGTCGGGGGATTGTGGAGGCCAGGTCATCTGATGCAGCACTCAATCACCCCCATTCTTGGTAAAATAGCCTATACATTTACATTTTAGTCATTTAGCAGACGCTCTTATCCAGAGCGACTTACAGTTAGTGAGTGCATAAATTTTCATACTGGTCCCCCGTGGTGGTGTGTTGGGTCATTGTCCTGTTGAAAAACAAATGATAGTCCCACTAAGACCAAACCAGATGGGATGGCATATCGCTGCAGAATGCTGTGGTAGCCATGCTGGTTAAGTGTGCCTTGAATTCTAAATAAATCACAGACAGTGTCACCAGCAAAGCACCCCCACACCATAACACCTCCTCCTCCATGCTTTAGGGTGGGAACCACACATGCGGAGATAATCCGTTCACCCACACCGCGTCACACATTTGGACTCCAGACCAAAGGACAACTTTCCACCAGTCTAATGTCCATTGCTCGTGTTTCTTGGCCCAAGCAGGTTGCATCTTCTTATTGGTGTCCTTTAGTAGTGGTTACTTTGCAGCAATTCGACCATGAAGGCCTGATTCACACAGTCCCCTCTGAACCGTTGATGTTGAGATGTGTCTGTTACTTGAACTCTGTGATGCATTTATTTGGGCTGCAATTTCTGAGGCTGGTAACTCTAATGAACTTATCCTCTGCAGCAGAGGTAACTCTGGGTCTTCCATTCCAATGGCAGTCCTCATGAGAGCCAGTTACATCATAGCGCTTGATGGTTTTTGCGACTGCACTTGAGAAACTTTCAAAGTTCTTGAAATGTTCCATATGTCTTAAAGTAATGATGGACTGTCATTTCTCTTAGCTTATTTGAGCTGTTCTGGCCATAATATGGACTTGGTCTTTTACCAAATAGGGCTATCTTCTGTATACCACCCCCCTATCTTGTCACAACACAACTGACTGGCTCAAACGCATTAAGAAGGAAATAAATTCCACAAATTAACTGTTAAGAAGGCACACCTGTTAATTGAAATGCATTCCAGGTGACTACCTCATGAAGCTGGTTGAGAGAATGCCAGGAGTGTGCAAAACTGTCATCAAGGCAAAGGGTGGCTCAAATATAAAACATATTTTCATATATGTTCAAAAAAAAATTGGTTACTACATGATTCCATGTGTTACTTCATAGTTTTGATGTCTTCACTATTATTCTATAATGTAGAAAATAGTACGAATAATGAAAAACCCTTGAATGAGTAGGTGTTTCCAAACTTTTGACTGGTACTGTATATATAAAATAGGCCTAATGCACCCCTTATCTTAAACAGACAGGGTATAACACAGGTTTTGGCCCCTTACCTCGGACGGTCAGGCTGGCAGTGGAGGTATGGTGACCCACGGTGAAGGTGACTGTGCCTGAGTCAGCCTGGGTGACCCCCCTGAGGGTGAGGCTGTGCACCTTGCCCTGGGCACGGATCAGATTCATTTTATTGTTTTGCAGAGGGACGTCCGCAAGCTTCCACTGGACCTCCTTGGCATCTTCGTGGGAAAGATGGCACTCAAAGTGGACATCCTCCCCCTCGTGCACCGAACAGCTGTTCAAGACCTTCACTATGGTCACCTCCAACTCTGTTTGATAAAGCCAGTCATGTGTTACTGGTTAGATGTGAATCTTACTCTAAAGGACCACTAGTGTCTATATGGGTGTTAATGGTTAGGTGCCAACAGAAATAAGGCACCTTCCCATGTACACTCAGTACAGTTACAGTACAGAGACAACTGTTAAGAGTAAGGTTGTGAAAAAGACACAAGGTTGCTCCTGTCAACACAGAAAACAGACGAAATGGAAGTGTGAGACAGACCATTGTCCTTAACAGCAGAGCGCTCAGGTGGAATGGTTACGGCGGTAGAAGTGCAGAGGAAGATGTGTGAAGGATATGAAGAATATAGGAAGCATTAAGTGACTGAGGAAAAGTATGAAGATCACCAAGCTTTAATTCCGTGCCCTTTTAGGCCTTTGGTCCTCTAAAGCCTAGCGTGGCATTAGTCTTGTGGGAATCACTCAGGATGGAAAGTGGTTGGTAGGTATAGAGTGAATTAGAAGATTAGTGCCATGATTCAAGAGGTGTGTAGAGCGAGAATGATTAAGAAGAATGGCAGAAGACAATAGCAGATTTTCATCTTGTCCCCTACCCTGTACAGTGAGCATGGAGGAGGTCTTCTGGTAACCTGTGTCACAGATATATTCCCCAGAGTCAGCCCCTTGTAGGCTATAGATGATAAGCTTCACAATGGCCCCTTCCTGTTTCAGCTGATACTTGTTGTTAGACTCCAGGACCCTGTCGCCCCGGCTCCAGACAACGCTGGCCCCAGGCTTGGTGATCTCACAGCGGAGGATGGCGATCTCACCTGCGTCCCACTTTAGATTCTGTAGTCGAGTTTTGAAGTAAACGGACAGGGCTAGGTAGGAACGGTAAAAGTTGGGAGAGGTGAGATAGTGAAACGTTTTGAGAGCAAACTTGTGCCCCTAAACCACAAAATATGTTTAATACATGAGGGAATTTTGTTTCACAACACCTAAAACAGAATACTTTTTTCTCAGCCTACCCTTCACAGCAAGCTGTGCTGTGGTTTTCCGGTCACCACTGTCACAGGTGTAGCTGCCTGAGTCTTCTGGGTCTAAGTTTTGGATGACTAGCCTAGCGCTGTGCCCTTCCTGGATGATTTCATACTTGGTACAGGGGCAAAGACCCACCTCCCCCTTCCTCCATTCCATTGGTACCCCAGGTTTAGAAAGCTCACAATGCAGGGTAACACTGCCCCCCTCTTCAGCCTCTTGGCTCTGCAGCTCTTTGGTGAAAATGACGGGGAGAGCTGACAAATAGAAATCCCAAAAGATTAATTATAAGTCTACAGATCAAAAAAGCTTGAATCAAAAATGGTAGGCATTATTCCAAGATAGCTGTTTTGTTGCATAACTTTAACTAATTGTTTATTGCCTTTTTGTTAATACATGTGGTGCTCCAGTTTAAATTATGTGCTAGTGAAGAATGGGGCAGCAGTGAAAAGGTCTTCATCATCCTACCATTGACTTTCAGGCATGCTGAGCTCTCTGTGTCTCCAGTCCTGCAGTGGTAGCTTCCTGTGTCTTCAGGTTTCAAATCACAGATTTGGAGTTCCACACTGCAATCTTTCTGCTTCATCTGGTACTTTTCTCCAGACTTCAGCACCTGTGATCCTTTTCTCCATTCCACAGGGACCCCAGGTTTAGAAAGCTCACAGTGCAGGGTAACAATGTCCCCCTCTTCAACCTCCTGGCTCTGCAGATCTTGTTTGAATATGACTGGAAGAGCTGAGAAATTAAAGGGTTAAATAAGTATCTGCAGACTGCATCCACTGTTACAATACCTCAAAAAGAGATATTACTAAACCATATGGTGAAGAAGTTCCGAATGGAACGATGTCTCTATGTATGGTAAACACTTTCAAGGACCATTTATATATGCACCCTCCTCTGCTTGGTGTCCATCCGTCCAGGCCAACAGCTGTAAAAAGGATTTGTGTGTGTGTGACCCACCACCATCACCTTGAAAGTGGGTTAACACATAACCAAGGGGATTTATGTACAGCACTGCATGAAGAATCCTGGTCTCTGACTAAATTAAATATTTTGTATGGAGAATACATCTGGAATATCATAATCAAACTACAAGGAATCTACAACAAGGACACTCCCGCAAGGTCAACAATAGACAACAAAGCAAAATATATCCTGTTGCCTAGTAATTTACCCCACTTTACTCCTACCTACAGTATATGTACATAGCTACCTCAATTACCTCGTAATTGTACTGGTAGTCCCTGTATATCGCCATGTTATTTTTACTCGTTATTCTTATTCACTGTGTATTTATTCCTCGTGTCACTATTTCTATTTACATTTTTTATCTTTATGTTTAGCTCTGCATTGTTGGAAAAATACCCATAATCAATCAATCAATCAATTTTATTTTATATAGCCCTTCTTACATCAGCTAATATCTCGAAGTGCTGTACAGAAACCCAGCCTAAAACCCCAAACAGCTAGTAATGCAGGTGTAGAAGCACGGTGGCTAGGAAAAACTCCCTAGAAAGGCGAAAACCTAGGAAGAAACCTAGAGAGGAACCAGGCTATGAGGGGTGGCCAGTCCTCTTCTGGCTGTGCCGGGTGGAGATTATAACAGAACCATGCCAAGATGTTCAAAAATGTTCATAAGTGACAAGCATGGTCAAATAATAATCAGGAATAAATCTCAGTTGGCTTTTCATAGCCGATCATTAAGAGTTGAAAACAGCAGGTCTGGGACAGGTAGGGGTTCCATAACCGCAGGCAGAACAGTTGAAACTGGAATAGCAGCAAGGCCAGGCGGACTGGGGACAGCAAGGAGTCACCACGGCCGGTAGTCCCGACGTATGGTCCTAGGGCTCAGGTCTCTCAGTTGGCTTTTCATAGCCGATCATTAAGAGTTGAAAACAGCAGGTCTGGGACAGGTAGGGGTTTCGTAGCCGCAGGCAGAACAGTTGAAACTGGAATAGCAGCAAGGCCAGGCGGACTGGGGACAGCAAGGTGTCATCATGCCCGGTAGTCCTGACGTATGGTCCCTAGGGCTCAGGTTCTCAGAGAGAAAGAGAGAACGAGAGAATTAGAGAGAGCATACTTAAATTCACACAGGACACTGGATAAGACAGGAGAAGTACTCCAGGTATAACCAACTAACCCAGCCCCCCGACACATAAACTACTGCAGCATAAATACTGGAGGCTGAGACAGGAGCGGTCCGGAGACACTGTGGCCCCATCCGAAGAAACCCCCGGACAGGGCCAAACAGGAAGGATATAACCCCACCCACTTCGCCAAAGCACAGCCCCCGCACCACTAGAGGGATATCCCCAACCACCAACTTACAATCCTGAGACAAGGCCGAGTATAGCCCACAGAGGTCTCCACCACAGCACAAACCAAGGGGGGGGCGCCAACCCAGACAGGAAGATCACGTCAGTAACTCAACCCACTCAAGTGACGCACCCCTCCCAGGGACGGCATGAAAGAGCACCAGCAAGCCAGTGACTCAGCCCCTGCAACAGGGTTAGAGGCAGAGAACCCCAGTGGAGAGGGGAACCGGCCTGGCAGAGACAGCAAGGGTTGTTCGTTGCTCCAGCCTTTCCGTTCACCTTCACACTCCTGGGCCAGACTACACTCAATCATATGACCTACTGAAGAGATAAGTCTTCAGTAAAGACTTAAAGGTTGAGACCGAGTCTGCGTCTCTCACATGGGTAGGCAGACTGTTCCATAAAAATGGAGATCTATAGGAGAAAGCCCTGCCTCCCGCTGTTTGCTTAGAAATTCTAGGGACAATTAGGAGGCCTGCGTCTTGTGACCGTAGCGTACGTATTGGTATGTACGGCAGGACCAACTCGGAAAGATAGGTAGGAGCAAGCCCATGTAACGCTTTATAGGTTAACAGTAAAACCTTGAAATCAGCCCTTGCCTTAACAGGAAGCCAGTGTAGGGAAGCTAGCACTGGAGTAATATGATCAAATTTCTTGGTTCTAGTCAGGATTCTAGCAGCCGTATTTAGCACTAACTGAAGTTTATTTAGTGCTTTATCCGGGTAGCCGGAAAATAGAGCATTGCAGTAGTCTAACCTAGAAGTAACAAATGCATGGATTAATTTTTCTGCATCATTTTTGGACAGAAAATTTCTGATTTTTGCAATGTTACGTAGATGGAAAAAAGCTGTCCTTGAAACAGTCTTGATATGTTCGTCAAAAGAGAGATCAGGGTCAAGAGTAACGCCGAGGTCCTTCACAGTTTTATTTGAGACGACTTTACAACCATCAAGATGAATTGTCAGATTTAACAGAAGATCTCTTTGTTTCTTGGGACCTAGAACAAGCATCTCTGTTTTGTCCGAGTTTAAAAGTAAAAAGTTTTCAGCCATAAGCATTTCACTGTTAGTCGACACCTGTTGTTTACGAAACATGTGACAAATAAAATGTGATTTGATAAGACAACAAAATAAAGACATACAGTAGCTTCCCATTTAAGGGCAAGAAAACTTGTAATACACTACAAATGCAAGATACTGAAACAGAAAGCTTATCCTTTCCTACCACAGGCTTTTACCACCGTCTTTTCCTTTTCAGTCTCTGGTTTTGGGGTGCCAGGAGCAACTGGTGTCTACACAACTACAAACATAAAAAATCTGTTGAATATCTATTCATTATAACATCAACTTTAAAATTGCGCACTTGAGCGAACCAGACGGAATCGAACAAAGCCCAATGTCCACGACGCTACAAATTTGACCTATTCACATGACAACCATCAGTCTAGCCTACTTTCTTTCAACTACAATTTAGAAGCATCGCAAACTATGCAGACAAAACAATATTTATATTTTAGTCATTTAGCAGACGCTCTTATCCAGAGCGACTTACATACATACATAGTGCATACATTTTCATACTTGTAGCAATGTGCCAAAAATCTACAGAATATATTTTCAATAAAAGTGTACTTTGTCGACTGAAGGATGGAATGAATATAAACTATTACAGATACAGTATGAGTTGAATAATTTTTGCATTTAAAAATGCACATGAGCAAACCAGATGAAAGCAAACATAGCCCAAAGTCGACAAATTCCGCCCACTCATATGAACAATGACCAACAGCTACAGCAGAAGAACACTGGCAATGAGCAGAAGAACACTAAGCATGTTTTAACACAGGTTTAACACCTAACAAACACGGTCGTTTTTTAAAACACTTTTAACATAGGCCAGGCCCTGTTGTTACCTCATATCCCAGCGATAATGCCTTGTATTACACCTGGGAAGAAAGCACTTCAATTTGCTCAACTTCCCATTGGCTCAACTATTGGCTCAACTTACCCCATGACCATTGGCTCAACTTAACGTAAGGCAAACATTTTGACTATATTAGCCCACACAGCTACAAGGATCCACTTTCATGCTAGGTTTAAGACCTCATACTGAATCTTATAGAGACCCCAACTGATGTATAGAACAATCTTTAAATGATCTACTTTGGTTTAGATACAAGCATCATGAAAAAAAAAGGTGGCTTAGCTTACCCCTTTGGCTCAACTTACCCCACACTCCCCTACATATTGTAGCGAATTCGGGGGGTAGCGCTGACTCGAACCCAGGTCCAGCGACTGTCAAGCCTACACCTTAACCGTTACGCCAAGAGGTCAAACTCCTTGATAAGGTCGCTAGGTGTTGTGTTAAAGGAAAAATCCCTGCAAAACCACTAATTCCTATCATTTACATTGTTATGTGAGAACAGTATTTTTTGTGAACAATTCTTTTATTTTGTCGTTATAATAGCAACATGTGAAAATCATTGTGGAAATCTGTTGCAGCTCAAGTCAACTATATAACCCACAATGCAATACTCTCTCTATGGGCTGGCTGGCTAGCAAACGTAGCTACAGACAATAATACCAAAGTAAACAGCAGCATGTGAAGTAGCTAGTTGTAAAATCGCCTAAAACGGCAAAACTATCAATTTAGGAGTCTACAATCTCACCATGTTCAACCTGCAGATTGATGTGTCTCGCAGAGTGGAGTCTGACATTCGCAATGGCCATGCAACGGCACCATGAAATGCACTCTGGACTGAAGAGGCAGATAAATACTGTAGGAGATATGTGGTGGATCCTCTGTTAAATTCAAACATCTCTCGAGGTAGGAATGTCAGAGAAATATGATCAATGTCTCATTCGAGAATAGACAACCTTATGATATTGGCCAGTATTGAAATCTAACATGTATGATAGACATTTTTGCGATCTAAAAGTCGTATTCCTATTAACTTCCAGTGTGGTGAGAGCAGCTTTATTGTAATGCTATGTCATACTGGCCGGATTTCTGCCTGCTTGAACGGCAATAGCTCAGATACACATGAAAACATGAAATTACCCCGGGAATCGATAGAACGTCGCTCAGAGATATATATATATTTTTTTTTACAAAAGGTGAATCTATCCTTTAAGGTCTCTACATTACCCCCTTCCTTTGGGAGAGTGTGTCCCCACGCTTCTCTATACCAAGTCCCTCACATGTACACGCCTCTCCGATGGCCTCACGGGTGCCATCCCACTTCTGATACCAATGTAGCGAATTCGGGGGGTAGCCTTAACTTAACTTCAACACCTGGACAAGACCACAAAATGAAGCAGAGACCTAGAAAATGAGCCACAGTGATAAAAAGATTGGCCTAAGAGCACCAGATCCTATGTGAATACTACATAATGCACAGGTAGATTATGAGCTCAAC